CAAAAAAGGGTATATTAGCTCCCTACAAAAATCTAATCCAATGAGAAAATAAATCTAAAGTCCAATTGCAAATGACAAAAGTGTAGCAAGGTAACTGGTAACAAGTCTGCTGGTTATTGAGAATTTAACATTAAAATATGTCCCGGCCCTTTGGATCATCCGCCGAATGATCAACCGAATGATTGCAACAGATAAAGAAACAAGCAAAATTTGTTAAATGGAGTGCATGATCAAAGAAGGTATATTAGCTCTCTACAAAAATCAAATCCAATGAGAAAATATTGTTTTCCGATATTACAATCACAATCCACGGACATGACTAAAAATGACTGACACGTCCCGCGCGGCATCAGAAATATGGGAGGAAATCTGGCACCACGATTTGTGGTGCCAGTTTGTGGCCATGGATAGAGCCCTCTTTGCCGCCTCCGGCGGTCGCGCGCTACTGCAAGCGAGAGGGCTCTGGTTAGAGCAACAAACGGTGCATATTATAAAATTTATAAATATAAAACAACTTAGCTAAAATATCAAAAAAGAAAGTGCTTCATGTACATTTCTATCATAGTATTAGTATAAGGGACGGGGTTACCGTTGTATCACGTCGTGACCCCACGGTCGTTTCACTATGGTAGAGTTTCTACGATACAGGGGGAGCCGCGCACTCCGCGTATGACAAGGTTTCACCTAACCATCACCATGTGCTTTCGAGCCACTGCGGGCGCGCGCTACTGCAAGCGCAAGGGCTCTGGATAGAGCAATGAGTATGACAAGGTTACCTGGCACGCCGATCTAATCCCAATGCGCGGCGCTCTTTTCGGGCTTCTTTTGTACGGGAGAATATATACAATATAACGGGCCGGGCAATTGATTCACGATGTCAATCCTTCGCAGCTCGGTGAGGCACAGTGGTGCATCTCGCCGATCTACCGAAGAGAAGCATTATTTGATGCGCGCGCGACCCAGTAGTGCATCGCGCTACAAGCCGGGCAATAGACTCGCTCCTACTAAATCGCTCGCCCAAATTTTAAGAAAATTCTTGTGAAAAGGCCCTTTGGGCATGAAAGTGATCTAGATCGGTGTATTTTAAGACGCTGATTCCGAATCATCCCCCATGACGTAGGGTTAAAATGCTTCCTGGAGAGTTATGGGCAAAAAACCGTTTTGGTCACGTGACAGGCTAGTAAAATACGAATTCGATTGTTTAGGGCCCGAGTTAGGGTTAGGGTTGTGGTAAGGGTTATGGTTAGCTTCGGGGTTATGATTAGGGTCTTAGGATTAGGGTTTATGTAAAACCGTTTTGTACGGCTGCAAAACCATAAAAACCAAAGTCACGTGAAATTTTTGGGCGAGCGAATGGCGAATCAGTAAGAGCCCAATAGACTAGCAAGCTAGGTGATTATAGCATATAGGTGAAGTTTTATATTTCTAGTACCACAATGCTGGCAAGCATTACCGTTGCCATTATCAATTATATTCACAATACTTTTTACCCCCTTTACTATTTACCCCTGGCCTTAACTATTATACAACTTTATTATTTATCAGGCATTAAGCATCATCGAAAGTAGTTCAGCAGGTATATTTAAGTTCAAAACATACTAATTCAATGTTAAAGATGACAGGAATAAAAAATAGTTATGTGGAGGTTTTTAAGAAGAAATTTGCGCAAAATACGGGCCAGCATGTTATACGAAATTAGGTAAAAACCCAAGATCGCCATATTCTGGTGCCTTAAAACCATGTTAAAATTAAGTTAGAGATCCTAAATTTTGCAGGGCGTCTCTAAACGTTGACCACTGTAATTGTAAAAAATTTTCAAGTTTCAGGTGTATCGGGAAATGGGTTAATTCTGGAACCCCTGTTTTACAACAGATTGTCGTGAAGTATATACATATATGTTTGACCAAAACCCATAATATAATATAATCATGGGTAGAGTGAACCGCTGCCAGTGTCTCTCTTTTCCAAACAAAAGAAAAATGATATTAATTTGAGGAACCGCCCGCAAATGCAAATTGATACCGAGAATGAAATCGGTCGCTCGCTTTTCCCATTCATTCACGGCTTACGAATTGTAATAATGAATAAAGCTTATAGAATGGGAAAAGCGAGCGACCCATGATTATGAGTTTTGGTCAAATATCATCTTTTTTTGATTATAATGTCAGGATAATTTACACAGTCGAAACTTCATTAATAAGGAGGCAATTTCAACGATTTCGAAATTTTACCTTTGAAAACGTTTCCTTGTTTTAGGTATGCATATTTGTCGATAACAGACTGAATATGGCACTTTTTACTCATTCAAGTTGGCATTAAATTCATATATAATGCCATTCAAATATCGTGGGAAAGCAGAATATATTCGAAATCACGAATGAGCAAAATTCTCACCTTTCGCACGTGCAAACTTTGAGCAGACGTTGCGTGCGCATACAATATTGAATCACCATAAATTTTTGCATAGTGGTATTTCATATATAGTTTGATAAGCGTGCAAATTTTTAGAAGATTTTAAAAAGAACTGGGATGACAACAGGGACTCCAAAGTTGATAAAAATCGTGAAAATAACAATTTTCAGCATTCAGTGATTTCAGCTATTTTAAATCAATTTGGGCGTGTCCCCACGTGTGCAAATTTTCGATTTTTCCCCTACTCTTGCCGAAGGCAAAAAGATCGTAGGGAATAAGTAATCGGGTTTGGATATATGAGGTGGCCCGATGGACCTGCGGTGATGACAAAATTCTGCTCTTTCGCAATATAGACCACCCCCCTATAATTAGGCTTTCCGCTTCAGTAGGACATGGGTTTTGGTCAAATTTAATAATGGTTTAAAATGGAGGACAATAACGACACAGGCGTTGCATGGTTTTCAGCTTTTAACGAAAATACCAAAATATCAATAACTGCCCATCACACAATTCGTTCAGAATATACTGATAATATTACTACGGTAGTTTGATCCAACGTAAGTACATATTTAAAAGGGTGCAAGACACAAGTACAGGAAACTCTTGAACTTTAAAGTTCTTAAACAAAACGTTAATGTTAAATTGGTAAACAGGTAATTTTCCGTCTAAGATTCAAGATGAAAAAGCTGCCTTTTGATAAAACTCGCAGATAAAAACAATTCCCGGAATTATACCATGAAATAAACTAATAAAAATGGTTTAATGTTAGGCACAATTCAATATTTCGTCACGCGTAGCCGTAAAGTACTGGCATATTATAGTACAACTATTACTATTTTATCAGATGAGAATGTTATCATAGTGTAGCGTAATAGAACAACTTTTCCCTCCCTTTTAAAAACCGTAACATCTTTTATAAATTTTATTTTCTTCAACATTCCATTTTATACCGAAACACTCGAAATATCCAGCAATAAAGTTAAAGTCAACAACGGACATTTTGAATAGTTATGGAACTTATTTCTTTCAGCCTCAAAAGATTGATTAATTATATGAACTAAACTGATGTCTTCATAATTACTCAGATCTAATCCATTACAATCCAAAAATGAATATCACGTGATTGTACACGTGATATACATGAATATCACGTGATTGTACACGTGATATACATGAATATCACGTGATTGTACACGTGATATACATGAATATCACGTGATTGTACACGTGCTATACATGAATATCACGTGATTGTATCACGTGATTGTAACACTCAAACGGTGCAGCTATTTATTCCACATAATCTGCTAAATCAGTTATAGTTTTTATTAACTCAACCAATCATTTAAATGATTAACAAATTGACCAATTAATTAGCTAATGGTCCAATTAAAGGGTCGTCAACTGGTGATGGCGTTGGTAGGCCTGGACCACACGTATATATTGCCCTCATTGCAAGAGAGAAGAACATGGTCTTTAGTGAATACAATGCAAGTCAGTCTCTCAGAGGATACTCTTTTACTGACTAGTGGATCTATCCTTGGTACCTGAACAAGCCATTTATTAAATATTTTATTAAAATTTATCGTAAATTAAATATTTAATTTTTAGTCAATTAAATATTGTATGTTTATAAGTATAACATACCAAGACGCGCGCAGAGTTGGACTCGTCTACGGTCTTGGACATATTTGGAACAAATATTTTGTGAGTATCACCCGTTAAATTAAATACTACTCCAACAAAACAGTGTGTAATAATCTTACGTCAGGTCTAAAGAGTGATAACTAAAATGCGAGGTTACCAAATTAAATTAATTAATTAATTAATTAATTAATTAAATTGTAGACGAAACCTACCTCGTATAAGCGTGGAACCTTAACACTGTCTAATATCGTGTAACATTGTATATTTCGCAGAAGTTGGGAATCTGAAAACAAATACTTTATTAGCAGAGTGAAAGCAATACGACAGTAAAGTAAAGTGAAAGTAAGATAACAAGTTATAACGAAAGTGAAAGTAACTGACCTGATAAATGTGTATCACTATGAGAGTGTCGGACGAAACTTCGTAGTTTACTAAATTTGTTTCGGTGAGGTAGCGTGTTAGCTGCGTCGGATACTTTGTTACTTTTCTTGTTAGGCGACCTGAAAGTGAAAGTGAAAGTGGAGATATAATAAATGTGGATTCTGGCGAGGATCAGGAGGTGATACATGTTTGTTTACTTTAATAGTAAGCCCCTGTTAGACGACTTGAAAGTGGAGATATAATTGGAGATATAATGGAATATATTCTAATCCAGCTAAAATCCTAAACCAATTTACTTCCAAACTAACGATTTGAATGGACCCTATTGAAGTCTCAATTTAGTCTTCAGCAACTGTTTCTAGAATACAATAAGACGCAAGAGAACACCAACGAAGAAAGTTTACACCTTAAGTCTACTTACAAACTAGAATGATGATTTTGGTACCAGCAGTCCCAAAAAATACCACAAAAGTCTTAAATATACAAAGCACACACCCTTTCAGAGGTAGAGTAAAATATATATATACAAAGCACACACCCTTTCAGAGGTAGAGTAAAAGAGGAGTAGGAGGAGTTGGAGATGTTGTTAGAATTGTTAGCTGATTTATCAACGGGACGTTTCTTGTCGCACTCTGTTTCGCTTGGAGTGTCAGATTTTGTTCGCCACGTCGACACTGGTTCTAACGAATCCTGAAAGAGAATTAATTAATTAATTAATTAATTAAATCACTTTTAAACGTGTCAAAATAAATATGGTTCAAGATTTTTTGACCAATACTAAGTATGATCCTGAGAGTTTCACTTTGTCAATAAGACAAACCCAGGTAGAGCTTTGGTAGAAAGAACAAATAAGACTGACCTCGCAAAGATCCCAGAAGAATATGTGAGCATCCTGACCCACACTACCGAACCTGTAGACTGGTAATTCTGCATTATCTTCTTCTAGTGGCCTGCAACAGTATACACCGTTACCAGGGGAAGTTAATAAAGTACAATAAATAGTAGGCAGGACAAAAAGGGAAAGTTAAGGACAACTAGAGGGGAAGTTCTAAAGATTAAAATTCAATTTTAAAATTCGTGCACTAAGGAGGTCATAGAGAATTCAAAGGAGGAAGCGGAATGTCATTATTTTTACAGTTTTTCAAGCTAAAATTCACGTCATACCCTTCCTCACTAGTAATTTAATCTCAGTTTACTAGTTTAGTTTAAAAGATCTTAGTGTAAGTTACCGTTCGAAGCTATACCCTTACAATTGTAAGCGTCAAACTCACAAAGGTCAATAGCGGTACAAACAACAGTGTATAATTGAAAATTAAAGTGAAAGAGAATCTCATCGTTACCTGCCGTTCGAAGCTATTCCTTTCGAATTATAAGGATCAAAGGTGACCATAGTGACCCAAGACTTGTGCCCCTCACCCCTTGCAGTAATCTTGTGATCTTGCAGTGACCATACCGTAACTAGGTCATCTTCTCCACCCGTCACTATATACCTGACGTTACAGCGTTTAATAAGGGGCATTTCAGTGATATTAATGCTTTTCAAACAAAGTTACAACGAATTATTCATGTAGTGCATCCTGGGTTTGGACAGGATATGCCCAATATAATTTCTGGCTAAAAGAGCTTCATAAGATATCGGTTAGTGGATTTGACGAGCAAATTGCAAATTTATTTCCTGTGACAACTGACAAAGTGCATTCTAGCAAATTTCCAAACTGTGTGATTGGAGTTGAAACGATAATCGAGCAATGTAACAGCATACCTTCCATCAGGACTCCAGCAAACGCACAATAATCCACCAAAATAACTCCTCATAGCTGACACCAAATCCTCCCTGAAACAATTATAGTTAGATTCCCAAAAATAGCTTATTAAGTCTCTTAACTGAGTTAACAATTTAAGAGTGAATTTTTAGATTTTGTGTTAAAATGTAACATGCACATTACTCAGTGCACTCTTATTGATATGAGAATCAGCAAACTAATAACTCACGAAGTAAAGTCAAAGACCCTAAGAAAGCCATCTTGAGAAACGACTGCCAGATGTTTTGTATCCGGAGAAAAAGAAAACTCGTTGATCTGCCCACACTTCAGTTCCCACTTTACAATCTCCTTCGTTCTACTTTTACCACGATGCTGAGTAGGGAAACCGTACTAAGGTAAAAGAGCAAATAGAATAGTGTATTATACTGATAAGTAGATCTTTCCTACCATATTTGGGACTTTAACTTATAAGGCGCACTAAACGCATGTCAAATCGCTAAAAAAGATGAGAGCAAAAAAGGGTAAATAAGAGTAATTAGTTGAAGCTGCCAAAATGATACAGTTTCAATAGCAGAGGGGCATGGTTGATGAAGGTAGTATAACAGTGGTGGGGTGCGAATGTCCTTGCTGTACGGCAGTGTTAAACAAGGAACTGAAACCGAGGGGTTCCGTTCAGGCCCTTCACACTTTGTTTCTGTCTAGTTCTAATGTACCGTCACAATAGTGACTTTAAATATTATGTACCCCCAGTCTTAAACCATATAATTTATCGTGAACGACGCATTACGAAGGAAAAACCAACTCGTGCGCGCGACCGTTAACCAAACCAACAACACTAGATGTTCTCCATATGTTGCAACAGGATATTTGCTAGTAGTTAGCTCATATTACAGTTCTGTTCCTACACCCACGTGCAACGCGGTACTTTTCGAAAATTTCGAAATTTAACGACTCGTTTAGGGACATGGTAAATTTTAATGAACTTCCATCGATTAAATTTTACAGTTATGTGAATTACCGTTCTCAAGCGAATAGAATTGCTGATCAAATCTTAGAATTAGGAGCTTAAATGAGCGGTAAAACTAAATGTAACTAATCAAATAGTTTTTGGAAGTGAAAGTGAAAGTGAAAGGACTCACCACGAGAATATTGTAACTATCTCCCTGCTTGGAGAGAGTAAATGAGATAGCAGGTTCGTTCATCGGCGTTTTAGTACAGTAGGTCGTGTTGAAAATGTACATGTTACCGCTAGAAAAGGAAGCTGAAAAATTATAAAGATGAGAAATCCGGAAGCGATGTTTATTTATTAGGGTATATCATATAAATGGTTCGTAAAATCCGGATCATGTGATTTGCAATTTATTAGTGGAATAAGAGAATAGGGATACACTAAATATGCGTGTAAATAGAAATATGTCCAGAAAAGTAATACATTAATACATTGTGGATCTATTCTAAGGATTTCTGATGAAAATGTGTGCATTCCATAAATACCTATGAACTGAGTTTCTGATCCCGGTATCCACTTAACACAAGTGACTGAGCTTTCTCCATTTTCTATCGCATACTGAAAACATAATTATCATCATTTTAAACATTATTCTACAATAATTAGTGTAATTATCACATTCCTGAGCAGCGAAAATACTGAAATCTAAGAAACAGTAGTAGAGAGCAAGAAACATATTCAAGTTTATTACGTAATTATGCTGTTAAATGATCATGCAAAATGACTTCAGAAAATTTTAGAAGCACAAATATTATTGAAAATTGTCAGGAATGCAGCTTACTGGGATTCGCTTTTGGGTATAATTTGGTCTCTTTTAAGAACGATACACTAAATTCTTGGAAAATGTAAATCAGTATAACTTTTAAATACCAGTCTTAACAATTTTAATCCGCAATGTCCATTTTGCTATTGAGAAAAGAAATCAATCTAAATACTTACGTTTTCGTTATATATTTTAATAAACTCCCATTTTAAAGGATTGATAAGATGAACTTGACCGTCAGTAGTTCCCACCAATAAATGAACACTATCTTTCGACCTGAAACAGAGTAATAAAACAACACAATTAAACAGCATTACGATCACTATTTATGTTTTTATACACCTCTAGCAAGAGGGTAAATACTTTAATCAGACTATCTTTAGTTTAGGGATTATGAATTTGACAAAATCTAAATGTATAAGTCCAGTCTAACAAGTCCTATAAAAGTGAAGTTTTTTAATAATAATAATAATAATAACTAGAAATTTAAACATCGCTTTATAGCCAAAAAGAACTCAGAATCCAAAGATTCAGTTTAAGCCATCTAAAGCGACTCATGAACATGTACATAAGAATTTTATGAAGTATGGTTTTTATGAGAAAGATATTATATGATACTTATAGTTATATGTTCTGAGAAAGTCTGGGGCTTCAGAGATTGTAAAGTTGTAATACCCACACATTTAAATAGATATGGTGAAATGTTCTAATAATAACTCCTCACTACTACTCAGTGTAAGTATACCAGATTAACCGTTTACAATTAGCGGAGATGATCTTTAACTAATTGCAGCTCTCAGACGATTATCGTTTGTATCAATTTGCTGTAACACTACTGATGCATTTCATAGTGGTTCTGCTCGTGATGTCTTAGTCACGTGACTCTATCAAGAGAGCAATAAATTTAGTGCGCTTACAGGATAGAGTAGCGACTAAGGCCCGTACCGTATACACCAACCTTTAGGTCATACTTAAACAGCGTTTTAAGTATGAGGTCGCACTTAAAAAAGAGTTTAAGTGGCACCTAAAACTCAATTTATTCAACAAATTTATCACTATAAACAATCTAATACAATATTAATGAAGGTAGGGGTTCATCAAACGCACCATTGATTTTACTTTCTTTATACGATAACTTAATTAATTTAGGCTATGCTATATATAATTGAGCGCCACTAAGAGTACAAACTGCGATCAAGTAAGTCTATCTCTGACCGTGCTCTCAGAAACTACTTAGTGTACCAAATATGAAGCCATTTTAATGCCTATTACCGATCACTCACCTAGTGAGAAGGTTAACGTCGTGACAAGTCGGACATTTATCTTTAAACGTGTGCTTGCCCTGCACACTCCTCTCTGTATCCAACTGAAATCAAGCAATCAGAGAGCTGTATCTCTGTCACGTGATATGACAAGACCAAACAGAGAGCTGTATCTCTGTCACGTGATATGACAAGACCAATCAGAAAGTCGTATTCTATCAAGTGATGTAAAAACACCAATCAGAGAGCCGTGAGAAAGTCACGTGAAAGGTTGAACTAACTTGCAGAAGATCCGATGCATTGAGCAAGTACAAATCTTTGGTGAGATTGTAGACAATCTTCTCTCGACTACCAAACTGGTCCTTTATTGTGAACAACGTGACCTTCGGCAGTGGCATTCTGAGGAGAGACGTACAATAAATATGTTATCAATACTAATAATCTCAAGATGTGTGTATGTCTGTCTGTCTGTTTGTCTGTTTGTCTGTCTGTCTGTCTGTGTGTCTGGAAATTTTCGAACGGCTTAATCAAGAAAACGGTAAGAGTTACGGGGCTGATTTTTTCGGTATAGTGACGAGAAAACTCTGACGAAGCCAAATGATAAAGGTTTTTTAAATCGGCCGGTGGTAAGTGGTTTAATTGATAAGTTTGTGACCCAAATGTGATACTAAAGTGTGTGTGTGTGTGTGTGTGTGTGTGTGTGTACTCTCCCACTCTCGCTCTCTCTCTCTCCCTCTCTCCCCTCATAATAGTAATGGTAATAGTAATAGTAATAGTAGTATAGTACTATGTTTACAGTATGTGCTAAAGGGGTATCTTAGGAAGTTTCCTGAACTTTTAACAGGTACCCCTCCTCATTTAACCCTAAATCAAGTATCCTATCATTCGGCTGAGTCGATCGAGGAGATTGCATAGATCCAATGGATCCTTAGCTACTCCTTAGACTAGGTAACATTGGGAATCGAACCCTGGACCTTCTGCGTAGAAGGCGGATGCTCTAACCACTTTACCACTAGGCCATCTATCTAGATTTGCTATATAATTAGGTAATTTGGCAGGGGACCTCAAGAGTCTAGATTGCCTATCAAGTATTACTATTATAATTAGATACGTGAGGGGCATTTAGAATTGAATTGCGGTGTGTTTGGATTGAGCGAGTTCATACTTTCACACCGTTTTAACTACGAAAATCCCGGCCGTGGGCACGGGTTACACTAGCTCACTAGTCATTCTAATGAAACCATAAGTGCACTGTGAAAGCAGCTTCACAGTTCGCATTGATAATGCTAGACTAAATCATTAATCCTACTGATTTTAAATCGCTACTTTAACTAATTAATCAATTAACTAATTAATCAACTGATTATTTAATTACTTTGGATGCTTGAGTCCCAGTGCAGTGTAGAAACCCACATTGTGGACCAACTTGTAGATTCCCTCGCTCGTTCGAAAGTGCTCCTTGATGAAGTCACTCCCATTGCTGCACGGCCCTGAATGAAGAGGGCACTTTTTTGATAAATGTTTCACTTTCACTTTCACTTAAAATTTCACTTCACGCACATATTTGATTTTAAAATATTGTTCTATGAAATATTATTATAAGAGGTGCAAAACCGGCATTCAATCCAAATGCAGTAGTTTCTTGCAATGCTAACCATAATGTAATTCATATACAACTTTCACTTTCACTTTCACTTTCACTGCCAACTAACCTGTCATCACAACATCTCTGTTTCGTGGTAAGTCCGGCGGGTCACATGTCACTACGTTCACATGTTGCAGCTTTGAATCTTTCTCCTCACATCCGCTAGCTATTAAAAACATTTTTTTTAAAGTAAAAGTTTTTTTAAAGAGAGGCTGGGCCTGTGTGGCCCACGAGAGGATAGCATGTGGATGCTTTGCCTACCTCTGGGGAAAATCATTTTTGACTTTTCAGAAAATTAATTAGATCTAAAATATTAATGTTTATAAAAAAATATCTAAACTATAGTTAATAGTTAATAGTACTATGTTTACAGTATGTGCTAAAGGGGTATCTTAGGAGCTTAGGAAGTTTCCTGAACTTTTAACAGGTACCCCTCCTCATTTAACCCTCAATTAAGTTTCCTACCAATCGGCTGAGTCGACCGAGGAGATCGCATAGATCCAATGGATCCTTAGCTACTCCCTAGACTAGGTGACACTGGGATTCGAACCCTGAACATTGTGCGCAGAAGGCGGATGCTCTAACCACTAGGCCAAATGATTAACAGATGTGCACAGTAATTAGCGTCTCTCCAGCACTTGGGTAACTCGTTAAATCCCGGCAGTAATTAGGGGTTGCTTGTGTGGTAACAATATTTCAATTCTTAACACACCAGATTTTCTGTGGGCCTATAAAGATCACTGTTATGTGGAAAATTTTCTACATCTTCCAGAATAAATCCCATCTCATCCCCAATCCCCCATAGCAGCTAAAATTACACGTCAGGACATGGTCGCTGTGTTGTAATATGGTACTTTCTATAGCTGACTCGCTAGATTTACGTTGGTGAAAGCATGACGTGTCACTTCTGATCAGTAAGCCTGTCTGAATCTGTTCCGTCACGTGATGGATCGTCTCCTCCCTAACAACCAAGATAACCGGAACAAAACCACCAGGAGTCAAAACAACAACCATTAAATTATTAACTCTCACCACCTGTTCTTGCTCACATTAATGAAAATGATTATGTGAATAAAAGTGACTGGGCAAAAGCTCACAAGTACTGAGACGCTGTTTGCGTGCCTTCTAATTAACTATTAGCTGATATTGTTTCTTTTACTTTCGTGAGCTATTTCTTGTTTGCATGGTAAACCAGTAAACAGTAAACCAGTAAACCAGTAAACAAGTAAACCAGTAAACCAGTAAACCAGTAAACCAGTAAACCAGTAAACAGTAAACCAGTAAACCAGTAAACCAGTTAACCAGTTAACCAGTAAACCAGTAAACCAGTAAACCAGTAAAGTGTAAACCAGTAAACCAGTAAACCAGTAAGTCTGATGTCAGTTTCATTTTTTCATGCTTGTTTCTTGAATTCGCACATTTTATCTTTTTATCTACCGACTACCGACCATAATACCCATATTATCTCAGTTTTGATAATTCTAATGTAAACTCAAAACTGACCATGGTGGTTGACTCGTTGAGAGTAAGTTTTAATGCACAAACTCACAAAGAGCACAAAGCCCTGCGAAATTGATATGAAATTAATAATATCTTACTATTATTTACACGCTTACTAGCCGCCTTACTTTGACCATTTTTATAAAAACGCTCCTTTTTGTAGATGATATCCTTGTTTTATCTGTAGTTATGAAGTTGTGGTCAGAGCACATGTGTTTATTCCTAAACTGCTTTCCGTTATCTTTCTGGTACAGTGTGTGAGTGTGCATTAAACAGGGACAGCACCATTGCAGCACCATTGCAGCACTAGTATAGCAGCACCATTGCAGCACCATTGCAGCACTAGTATAGCACCATTGCAGCACCATTGCAGCACTAGTATAGCAGCAATAGTAAGCTGTATACAGGGACAACTTGAAGTGCACAACTGTTATGGTAAAACCACAATCCATTTCCTTGAGATATCTCTAGAGTATTGGCAATTCATGTGATCACGTGACAGAGTTGATTGATAATTTGATCTGATTTCTGTGACAGGATCAACTTTATCTAGTATTAGTATTTAATTAGCAGAGATCCGTCTGGCTTAGTATTTTGATCATTTTGATCATGATTTGATGAACTAATTATCACCTAACCAATTTGATATTCCGAATTGTTATAGTAATTGCATCACTTTTAAAAATGAAGTTGATGCATTTTAAGGGGTGTGAAGTTGTTTGAGTATTTATTTGGCTCAACTCCAGTATCAACAAAGATGTATGGCAGTCATTTTAGTGTACATGACAATATAACATACCAACACTTCTGAATTGATGCGAGAATAATGCCTGCCTTACAAATGACACAGAATTGAACTTATTAAATCTTTAGACAGTGATGATTGGTGAATGATAAAGAAAATTCCCGAATTAATTTCAGTCTAGTATTAGTATTAAAGAATTAGCCAAAACTTTGACCGATTCATTTATACCATAACTGATAACAATTATTACGATTATATAGAAATAGGTCCTTCTATTAATCACGCTTATGGGCGATCCAAGATATTTTGCAACATGTATAACGAATACCGATCATAACTAAAGTTCCAATAAATATCTGCGAAATATATACCTACAATAGAAATGTACAGTTTAAAGTAGCACTCTCGTTATGCCTTGAGATCTGTCAACAGACCTTGATCTGTTTTACTGCAGAGACACTGGAGAAGCGCTGTAAATCTAAACAGTAACTTTAACGCCAGGTAAAGCAACAAGTGGGTTTAATGATTATCAGAACAGTCTGCCTATCCTTTAAAGTATAATCACGTAATAGCTGCCGGCACAGATTTAATTCCATAATCTCCTTGTACAAACTTGGATATCTCGTTGATATTATGGTCGTTGTGAGTGTTTGCTAATTTTCTATTGTTTTGTTTCCCTTTGCTATTAGGATTTAAAAATATTTAATATTCAAAATACAAATAATTTAACTGTAGATATTATATTATTATAGCCATGTACCTGCTCTGTGTCGTGGTGTTATGCATCAATGATGGGGTAAACTCAGAGAACCTGGCTTACAACGATCATCTCAAAAAACCCTCAGAACCGTCATTTTGGGAAGCAACAACTTCATTCGAACCTCCAACTATGAAGGTCAATGATAGTGAACAGCAAAGAGTTTCAGTCGAGCACACTATTGGGACTAATGAAAATAAGAAGATCACTTTTGAGAAGAAAGAAAGCACAGCTGACACAAAGCTGACACACAATCTTTCAATTGACGATCAGTTTAAGATTTTTTTGGAAGGTATGACTATTTTGAGCTTCAATTGATATGATCTAGCAACGGCCATGGCTAACACATGTACATTTATCAACAATTTGCACAACCGAAGGATTGATTGGAGTCCTCATTATTTGAATCACTATCCTTGTCAAAGTTAATAGATAGCAGCAACTTGAAATTACATCGAAAAATTACTTATCTAGTGTACTTATCGTAGTGCTGGATATTTAGGCTGGTTCAATGTTCTTGGTGCTAAGAGAGATTAAGTACTGAATAATCTGATCTTAGAATCGGTGAATCTTTTCATTATTAAGCTCAAATTTATATTATGCTAGGTATATCATGATTTTTATATCATACTGTTCAAATTCCATCAAAATTTTATTTGCAGGAGATGCCAAAGAATCCTATCCAGATGTTATTCCAACAAACAATACATTGAACAAATTCAAAGCATGTGCTTTGAATGACCTAATAAATTATAGCAATAATTCTATCAAAAAGACTAATGCCCTTCACCATTGCTATAATGAAAAAGTTGTTCAGATCTACAAAATCAAGGAAACCGGAAGTAAGAGAATCGTTTTGATTAAATTCAGTTAGATGAAATTTAAAATGATAACTTAGATGTACTAAGTAATAAATAGTGTTCTGCATTTTATTGCCATATTATTTAAAAAAATTAAAACCATCTTAGACTCTATTTCATCTTGAAACCTTTCTTTCGATCAATTATCATTGTTGTTATGACTAATTTGATTGATAGCCTGTGCAAACAATTTAAATAATTTACACTGTCTGAAATTTACCTATACCAAAGAGTTTTAATTTGGACAATTAGAATAAATTTACAATTTCAGAGATATTGCTGAATGTGATATTCCCAGTAACACTGTGCTTGTTAGCATTTGTTGTGGCAATTATAGTGAAGGAATGTGTCGCAAAGCAAGTTGGAAGTAGAAAAGCAAAAAGAGCAGGACATGTGAAGATTCCTCAAACACCACGTGCTGAAAGAGCACACTGAGAACCCTAAAACATACTCAAATTTTGTTAATATCTGCTTGATATTTTAACTGAATCATTTATACTGCACTTACGATACAATTGATGTCTTGATGAAAATATTTTAATGAGTTATTGATTTAAGAATTGTGTTTTTGTTTAGAAGACTATAAGATGGGTGGAAAGGGGGGCATTTTTAGGCAAAGTGCGCACACCAGTGACCAACATCTAAATTATTTTAAGAGTGTCAACCATACTTTAATGTACCAATCTAGAAAGGTTTTAGAGATTCTCAGAAAGGTCCCTTAGTTAAAATACACATGAAAATCGATCCAATCATTACAGGACCACTTTCATTCCATGTTTGGTAAAGTCACTGAGTGCCCCCTCAAATCAAAGAATATTCATGTTCGTTTTTTTCGAATGAAATGGTTCATTTTCGCATTTGTTTAATAGTTTGAATAATCGGATCGAGCCAAATTGTATAGAATTGTGTTGGGCCATTCAAATTACATTTGCCCTAAAAATATTAGATTTGTAGCTTCTCAGATGAACGAGATATGAAGCATAATGAGGTTATTCATTACGTGTGATCAGGTGATTGGGTTGGCAATATGGGAATCAGTTAAACAAAAATTTCAGTTAAACAAAAATTTCAATTTTATGCCATTTATTACAGATAAAACAAGTTTACAATAAATCAATTTGATATTTAACGGAATCCTAACTCAATGTGCAGTATGGTTGTCACTCTTTAAATAGATTAGATATAGGTTGATGGGGCAAAGGAGTGTGCATGCTGTTCGCTATTGCTCACACCAAACGGCAACCTAGTAAAAGTTTTGTATGGACACCGGTCTCCATCACGATACAAGATTAGGATTGTA